ACACATAAGACACATAACTATTTGCATAACAAAAGCCAAACGCAAACCAATTCACCGCTGAGACGAAGCGCTTCCCTAAGACTCGAGTCAAACAAATCCATGAATCAAATCCCAAATGAGACCAGAAATACATCGTTTGAAAGGAGTCGATCATTCAAAATGCACCGAAAAAAGCACGACATCTTTGAGCCGTCGAGCACTCTGGAGTCGACCAGTACTTCCACTTCTGAGTCCACTTCAGCCGAGAGTTATAAAAGCAAAAGCGATTCCAACAGAAGTAAGTGTTAATGGATTTAAGGATTTAATTGCTTCATAACTTTAATTACATTTAATGACTATTTTCTATATATAATTAATTAATTACATTTCAAACGAAAAACTTTTTAGAGCAATCAGTTTTGAGTAAATTCTTACGACTGGGCACTTCTGGAGGCAATGTCTCGAAAGCCAAACCTCTGGCCTCAAAGTCAGCCAATTTTTCGGCACAATTCCCAGAAATGAATGGCGCGATCGTTGCATACAATGATACGACACATACAAAGTCGACGGCCACTCAGACAGTGAAGTGCGGACCTGAGGACTACGCCACTGTCATCATAAAACAGGCCAGTCGTCACGCATTAGCCAAAAGTGGTTCCCAAACCCAAAGCCAAAGTCAGTCTCAAAAGCATAATAATAAAGACAACGACTGCAGGAATATTCGGTGTCATTGTATGGATAGAGAGCTCACTAATGGCACTAATGGTAAGCATTCTCGGGTTAATAAGTCATTACAGAAATGCAAATATGCCAACAAATTAGAGACACAATCGCCGACCACTCCTATCGCTTCCATCACTGCCATGAGTCCCATGAATGCAATCACTGGGATCTCTACCCCTATTGATGAATGCCTGCTCTGTAATTGCAATCCGGAAACCCATAAAATTGATTCTAATAGACAGGACTTAACAAACAATAATTATTGGTCTAAAGCTAATCAGCAGTTTCTCAGACAATTCAATGGCTCGAATGGATTTGATTATAAGAAGACTATTAAACCAAATGATGGATTAAGTAGTAATTGTGATCACAGGACCACCACTTCACCACTTTATATGAGAAGTTCCAGTTTTCGCGAGCATAAAGCCGCGGATGAAGTGCCTGAGGATAGATCCAAAAGCTATCCAATGCATCCGACACCGAAATTTACTGCCAGTCCTCATACAACAACAACTCGTTTCAACAACTCTATGAATCTCATTGAAAGGCCTAAAGATAATAGAGATAATAAAAGCCAATTATTGAATACACGTCTGGATTCGCATAATGACTGCCAAAACAAATTCACACAGAATTTCCCATCGAATCCTCGCCAATGCAACGATAATAATATCTATAATCATAACAATTATTGTGTCGATAACTCATTGAACGTAAGGCTAGAGATCGGGTCGACCGCCACCACTAACATCGAGAACGGCGATCACACCGGAGATGATCATACAGATGATCATACAGTGACCCAAACCACACACGCAAACGCCACCAAAATAGTCAACTCTATCAATACGAATATTCACTCCACGGTCGCCACTGATGACCAAATGGATCCCAAGCACCCGATCCTCTCATCGGCCACCACTGTCACCACGACTATGACATTACCTAATATTTACTCGACTAATGACAACAATAATGATATCACTTTCGACACCAATATCTTGGACTGGATTCACACGCCTGACGACGCGGCCGCTCGACTCAAAGACATGAAACTGTGTAACGAAGACAATCGCAGGTCTAATCATCTGATGAACAAACAAAACAATGTGTTGAGCGATATCAAGATCAATTCAGTGCCACACCTGAGTCCCATTCGTCAGCGAGTGGCGAAAGCGAAGGCAGAGTTCTTCAACTCCGTGGGTCCTAAGACTC